GGCGACCTCACCTTTCATTTGTCTCCTTGTCCACTTAAAGTAGGGTTTGCAGTAAATCTGAAACCCAATTGAAATAAGCTTATATAGTAACTTGATCTACATACATGTGCATCTATTATTATGTACAATTTATTCTGTTTCTTTAACAGGTGCAAAACAAAATCTACATGTTTGTGAGATTTGTTAACAAGAACAAATAGGTCTCTATGACATTATTTTCTTTACTAAAAATTTAAATTAAGTGGCTTAATGTTTCAATTAATATTATCTCCATGACACAATGTCTATTTGTTTTTAAATACTTTTATCTACTTAAGAATTATTTTTTTAAAGTAATTAATTAATTTGTGTAGGCCTACATAGTTTGTTGTAGCTATGTTTCATTCTGGTGACAATAAACTGTTTTAATTTGATTTTTCTGAAATTCTAAGATTTTTATATCCAAACACTTTATATTTATTTAACAAGAAGAGTCCAAACCTATTATTTGCAAAATCTGTCTTAGACCCACAACTTTGGCAACAAAGACTGCATATTTTAACCACAGAACTCTGCAAATCCATCAATTTCACGAGCAAAATACTAAAACAACTCCAGCAAAACATGATCGATTTTCAATTCATCCAAAGATGAAAGATAGCTTTCCTTTGGATCATGCGAACGACCTTGTTTCAAGGTTAGAATTAACCATCTAATATAGGGTTGTCATACGTTAGTAAACAGAAGGGTCCAATTATGACCATCAAACAAGTCCCAAAGTCATTGATATATCACAATCATCAACCCATTAAATCATCAATAGTATGTTTTTCGGCACTACTTTTTTGCAATCGTCCCAGCTGCAATATAAGCTTAGCCGACTATCATATGTGCTTTTGACTTGGATGATGCTCCAATGTTTATGATTTTAAAATATCGCGGAATTTTCACAAAGAGGTCGCTAAATAAATTTATGGGCCCGGATCATTTTATGGTGCAATAAATTTCGATTGCCCGTGGGTTGATACCTTGGGTTTACACTCTTGGTGGATCCGTAAATCTTGTGCTGCGCTCTTTGGGAATTTTTTTCGATTTTTTTATTGTAAACCTCTGTATTCAGTTTTCCATTTAGCATCAAAAATGTTCTCTATATTCACTCTTTCAAATATAAAATTAATGATATGATTGGTGATATTTTTAGCCATACGCTTTGTTATTGAAATTCAACACTTTAGGAAGATTTTTATCGTTTTCTCCATTCATTAGATGATGTGATAGTATTAATTGTACAGTATTGATGTGTATTTTTCCAAAGGCCTTAACTATACGAACCGCTCAATGGACGCCTGTTATATAATATTATTGTGGTCGGCTGATCAATTGGTTCAAGAGATGGACAATTTTCTGAAGATCTGGAATAAATATCCACAAATCACCAATCAGTGTTAGTTATGATAAAGCTGTCAAATATAAAGCTGTAAACCTATCATTAGGTTCAGCTGTACGTCTGAACCTTATGTTTATAACAAAAATATCATGTCTTAAGCAAAGGCTCCACTAGAAAAACAGGCCATGCTGCAGCCGGTAACGCAACACTACGTCACAGTGGTGGATAGTTGAGTTTACCGTTAAAATCTGACAAACAGCCAGTTTATTAACCTAAAACATATGGGATATTACAGTGAATCTATCAATGAATCTATCTACTAGTGTGACGTCATGGATCCTGTAGCATGGCCTTGTTTTAAGGCTGAAATAAATTGCTGTGTTGGAAGTAAGGAACTCGCTTAACAATAAATCAGGTGATTGTTATGATTTTTTGTCTTAAATTGTGTTCCAAAACACAAATACAATCATAATATAATCACAGCTCATTGAAGCCTTATCATTAATGCAATCTATATATTAATAGGCAAGCATGTTTCTTTAAAACCTTTTTTCTCAGCTCGTGTGCATCGTAGGGAAAATCTACGCATACCGTTAGAAAGCTATTTTCCTGTAGGAGTGCAGAATCCCTTTATAAATTTAAATAGGCTCAAAGATAAGCACAAAAAATGAGTTTAAAGATTTGAAAAAATTAACATGGATCTTATGCGTTGCCATGCTGGTGACGAAATAACAACGAAATATAAACAGGAAATCAAAACAAATAGAAGAAACTCCAATCACATGTTTTATTTACAGTGTGGGGTGAAAATAGAGAAGTGAGTACATTACATATTTTTGGTCGAATTTCGACAACTGGACGACCTCTAGTATTGGTTTAATTGTAAAAACGAAGTAGGATTAAGAAATTACAGCTCACAATTTTCTGAGTTCTTAGCATAAAAAAAGAATTTTTCCTTTAATCTGACATTTATGGTTTTCACACGGATTTGTTTCGTCAGGATCACATTGACATGGCAAAACCCAAATATCTATGAAATATGTACCGATATTTAAGGACAGGACTTTGGAGTTGTAAACAAACTATGTAATTAAAATTATAAACAATAATCAATGTAGGGGCCTATACAGAATACTTAAAATTCACCAGATCATAAGATTATAGGTTCGTATGATTTTTATCGATATCTTTTATATTTATATATGTTTGATATATCGGCTACAATTTTATTGAAATGCCTGACCAACAAAATGTTTTTGGTGTTACAAACTGAGGCCCGTTATGAAAGGGAAGCCAAACGTCAAGTATTAATCGTCTTAAAATTCGCTGACGTTAAGAACCGTTGATATAAACTGTCAGACTAAGGTAAAATCCAAATTGAAAGAATGAAAAAAGGTTTATCCGACTTAAAGGTTCATAAAAAATGAAGGGTTCAGTCAAAATTCAGAAAATGAAATACTCACAGCCTTCTGTGGATTATGAACGTTTTTGGAGCTTTCAAATTGGTTTTTATAACAATACTTCCATTATATTCTAGTTATTTATTCTAACAAACAATCAAAAAACCTAAATAGAAAATCATTTAATGTTTTCCAATCGTTTCACCTAATACATGCCAATACTAACTTATTGCTTTATTGATGTAACACCTTTTAAACATTAACACTGAAATTAATTCATACTGAACACAACAACATTTTATAGGCAAAACTTTTTATAATGTTTTCAATGATGTTTACTGACTAAAAATGGTAACATACTCTTGACAAGGCAAGGATCACATGATTGTACTAAATCATAAAAATATGGAAGTTTTATTTTATTATCCTTAATACAATAATCTTAATTGATTCTTCCACGAACTTATTAATTGTGACAAACGAAAATAACCAATCAGCCAACAAATTATGTACTTATTCATTCGAATCCGAGCGTTATATCTTATTTTATAACTTTTTACTGTACTACTGAATAAAGTATAGTTACTACTTCAGTTATCATAATCGATATATAAACCACATTAAGGGCAACTCTCCTAAAGAAATTGTAACTTAAAACTACTATACGTCTATATACAGGGTGTTGAAAATGTCTGGAACCAACATTATATCTCGTGAGTGGTTAAAGGAAAACAACTGATATTTAGTGTACGGATATACTATGGTTTTACCTATCTTTTAGTGCCTTATGAAAATTTTTACCACTTATAGGGAACGTCCTGTGGAGGATGCAGTAAAAAGTTTTAATGGAAGCCTATGGTAAATGATACATCATTTTAAAGGCCATTTTTTTCTGAGTAAGGAGCCACAAGTTTCATCTCAAAAGGACCACCCTAGAAAAAATGGCGACTGTTTGAAATTTAAAAAACCACTTATAGGGAACGGAATTTTTAAATTTCAAACAGTCGCCATTTTCGCTAGGGTGGTCCTTTTGAGATGAAACTTGTGGCTCCTTACTCAGAAAAAAATTTCCTTTAAAATTATGTATCATTTACCATAGGCTTTAATGAAAACTTTTTACTGCATCCTCCACAGAACGTTCCCTATAAGTGGTTATTTAAATTTCAAACAGTCGTCATTTTTGCTAGGGTGGTCCTTTTGAGATGAAACTTGTGGCTCCTTACTCAGAAAAAAATTGCCTTTAAAATGATGTATCATTTACCATAGGCTTCCATTTAAACTTATTACTCTATCCTCCACAGGACGTTCACTATAAGTGGTAAAAATTTTCATAAGGCACCAAAAGATAGGTAAAACCATAGTATATCCGTACACAAAATATCATTTGTTTTCCTTTAACCACTCACGAGATATAATGTTGGTTCCAGACATTTTCAACACCCTGTATACTCAAAGGCACTATTATTGTAAAAGAGATTCGTGATAGAAGAATCCTAGATGTAAATACCCCTTATTTGTGTATGCACGCAGCGAGTTTAGGAAAAAAGATACTCTTTAGTTGTCACTAATGTTCAGTTACTTAACAAAATTCAAAATGTTATATTAATTTTAGTGGAGGGAGTATTTTAGTAGGGTGGTAAGTTCTTATTGCCCTAAATTGTCTATCCTTCCTCTTATTTTCTTCAAATTATGAAGACCTACAGCTTTAGCCCTTTACCGGACTACGGAATTATAACATACCTAAAAACTATTAGTGTTTGACGAGGTTTGAACCTGTGGCTCTTGGACTAAAGGCAAGCTTTCTAACCACTGGACAATCCATTAATCTAGTATCCATTGAAATCCTCATAAACACCTTTTAACGTTTTTAAAGTTAAAACAAATTATTAATTACTAATAATTAACCATGTTCAAACATTCTGACCAAAACAATCGCCTAAATCACTCCCGCATAACATCATCTAATCAAAACCTCATCACTAAATTGATGATCCAAATTCGTTGACAGGTTAAGTGTAAGAAAGGGCTATGTGGCCCTAACGTTGCCTGTATGAATAAATAATATTTCATTTAATTTAATTTCACAAGCCATACGTTTACTCACTACTTTATCCCACAAGCCCTAATATCAGCCCAACAATGTCCAATGCTCCATATTCGCCACAGCTGGGCACGGGGGTGGGGTGAATGTTATATAGAGGACGCCGCGCTTGGCCGTGACATTGGCGGTAAAGATGGCGCGGTCGTTGGTCGTTACTCCCGTGGTCGTTATTGTCGTTAGCCTCGTGGTCGTTAACGTCTGTGGCTACCAGCCCTACCAGTACCAGGGGCTGCAGCACCACCAGATTGGCAGGGCCAATGGTAATTACAAAAGTTTTGAATTTTAGTTTATTGAAATTTGTATTTTTTTTATTGATTGAAGGGTGTTTATTCGGATATGGTTACATGTTGGTCTTCCACTGTTTCTATTTACACTATTTTTACATGAAAATGTTTAAAAGCTAATAAAATTGTCATCTATTTTAAAATGTAAGTTGTTAAAAAGTATGATCGAGATTAAGGGGTGGTTCGTTAATTTAAAAATATAATTTGCAATAATTACAATTAAAATTAATAGTGAACAGATAAGTACTATTTTTAACTAAGTAAAAAAAATTTATTACTAGTTTAGAATAGGGGGGGCACATTTATAAGAGAAATAGAATTGTAATTCAACGAATAAATAGTAGACTAATATACAAAAAAGTTTTATATATTTTACTCGACATTTACTAATATTTTTAATAACTAATTCATCAGTAATAATGATAACACATTTAGGACCAAAATGCCAATTTGAATCTGTTATTTTATAAGTGGTTGATTACGAACAAAGTTTTGAAAAAGTATACTTTTTAGACTTGACGTAATATATTTTACAAGATGAATAAATTGTATTCGTACTTTACTAGTTTCTTTCGGGTTCTGTCGGTGGGAATAAGAAGAAGAATGTTGATGCTTCATAGAGAGAAATACAGAATACTGATGTAGTTTTGGCGCGTGCTTGTATTTACAAATGGGGGTGTGGCGTTGGCTTATCTCTGTGTTACAAAGTACAAACATTTTAAAATAATAAAGGATCAACAAATTGTTCGCTATAAATACCTTCTATCAACTTAACTGTGTGCAATACATTCGTACACTTTTTAATCCTTAACTATTTTGTTTTAGTTGGGCAACAAAATATTATTTTACAAATTAGTAAATTAAGTAAACATTATAACGATGGAATTGAATCACACACAAGATTTCTCATTTCCTTGTACTTCCCTAAGGATTAAGAGGGAAAACGTTATTTACAACATTACATTTACATTTGTTTTACGTTTGAGTTTAGTACCGGGATTGTATTTTATATTTAGTTTACCTTACCTTAGGTTAGCTCCTAAATTTATCGATTTAATGACTCATAAATGATCGAAACAATAACATACCCCGAATTGTGGATATTTATAGACTTGCACTGTGGATGGGATACTCCTTGGTGTGGATTAACGTCCGCACTAGTGAGTACTTCGACTATCCGCAGTACTATCCTGATAATTTATACCAATTCGTTAATACCAAGTCAAACGTGGTCCGGATTCCACTAAAAACTGTAGGTCTCTTAGTTGCCATTACCTGTGACTATTAATTAACAGCTGTGTCTAAGGAATATGACAACCTTAGTCACTAACAAGACTACAAGATCGCACCACTCATCCTACATCTCCATTCATACCCGGCTTAAAATACCTATTTGGTATGGTCGCCATTTCAATGAAAAGTATTTAAAGCATTATGTACCGATAAAAAATATGTAATAAAAATAACGCCCTAAAGTCAAACCTACAATAATGTAGCGAGGTTGGAAAAAGTCCAGGGGAGCATGCTAAAATTGGTGCACACAAAATACAATTTTACAGAAAAATACTAACGGTTTTACGTAATAGAGTTATATAATCTTTAGACCGCCCTTGATCGAGTTAAGGATACCCTACAAGGATAGTAGTTAAATAGTAGTTAATTGCAAGGTCCATCTCTGGTAATTTATTATCAAAAATCGACATCGACAGAGAATCTTTGTCAACATGTCATCATATCCTTGTTGAAATCGCTGGATTAAGATTGAATTGGATAGGTAATCCCCTTCGAGTATTTCAAATTGTGAATCGATTTCTTGTAATGTTGGTCAAGACAAATAAAAACAACACATTTTGTTATGCAACGAAAATTTAGTAAACATACAGGATATGTAGTATTTAAATGTATCTTATACATTGAAACTTGATGATACAAACATAGAAACACGATTTTACCTTTAAAACATTCTTAGGAGTTTTTACAAGAGATAATTTAACCCCGATGTATATATCTCTTCTAAACACAATTTAATAATAAATATTATGCTGTTGATAGTTTAACAGGTTTTCTATCGTATATTGTTTGATGCTTATTAATTTTAACCATTCTGTCCAGAAAGCAACCGTTTTTAGTTCTCTAAGTCGTCCGCAAATTCGTCGTTTTCGGGTAACTTCAAATAGGAAACAAAAATAATAGGGTAACTTTTTCTGTTCATTAACCTCAAAAATTTTTTCAGTGCATTAAGAAAACACGGCTAATCACACGGCATAAGTTATGCTTGTAAACAACAGACATGTAAACATTGCTTTCTACTTTGTATAACCTCAAATGCGGCCCATTTTTTACGATTAGAAGGTCCACAGTATGGTGAAAATAGAGGGAAAGTGTTTTTTTTCTTTACTAACATTTTCGGTTGCGAATCAAAAAGAGCCACTTTCACTCCTAGTGATGAAAACTACTATATTAAACCATCTTAATTCATCTTGGTTAGTAATCTCCAACTAGTCAATTTTTAATGACATAGCATTACATTTATTTAATAATTTTCTTTTTTCCACTTTTTATCTATGGCACTCTATTTTATTTTTACATCCTACACTAGCCCTATACTTTTCATATACTCTACAAACTAAAAATGTTACATAATTAATTTCCTCAATAGAATTGTCTTGCTTATATAACCTCTAAAAATTGTATCTCCAGGCAATTTGACATACGAGTATATTCACTCTATCAATAGAAATATTACACTCAAAAAACTAGAAACGAAACGAATCTGGTCGATCTATAGAGGCTAGCGGCCATCTTAAATAATATCAAAAAAATGCTGAAGTGTTTCAAACACCAAAGTGATTATAATGTAAATATTTAGGACATATGAGATTATAAATGTTCTTTGTAGTTTTGGATTTTTTCCAAGGGAGTACATGGAAGCCAACGGCCATCTTGGATTTTCCTGGCACAAGCGCAATGTCGATTTCGTCAATTATTTCAAACAGCCACTGAAGTGTTATTTACCACCTCAAACATATTTTTAAAATACCAAATTGGTTGTAATTAAAATATCTAAGGCACTGTGTGATTATAAATGTTCTTGGTAGTTTAATTGTTTTATGAGTTAGAAAGACTAAGCTCCAAAGACAAAGTCCTAGAATTTCCTAGAATAGGATATTCTACATTGTAGAACTCCTCACAAATTTCATCTCCTGAAATAATAATTTCACCATGTTTAAGAGGCTCTAGGCAGCAAATAATTTCACCATGTTTAAGAGGCTCTAGGCAGCAAATATTTTTATAGCTCCACCAATCCCACCAACACAAACTCCAACGGTCCCAAGTCCTAGTTCCCTTTCCGCAATGTTGTGTGGGCGTAAATCGAAGATGTTGCAACCAGGGGCATTGCCCTGTCTAAAGATTCCACAGGACAAAATCAAGTCCAAGGATACAGGATTCTAGGAGTAATCTACAATTTTTTGCAAGGATTTAACTGTTTTAACTCTTAATTGCATTAAGGTGGTTGTATAAGTATGTTTAGGCAGTTTGTTTGTTATTGTTTTAAAGATTAAAATGTGTAACAGTTCCTAAATATTTTTTTATTGGTTGACCAATAGTTAGTTGTAATGTTTGGCGAGGATAACGACTGTGATGAAAAAAGAGTTTAAGTACATTTACTTCACCAATAGTGTCTTAGTTGTAAACAATATTAAAGCGTTTAACTGTTTTGAGTAGGATATTTAAAAACATAAAATATGATTCAATAGCTTAAGTTTTATAACTTTTGGCATAAAGGTTCATATTAGTTATATTTTAACTATCTTCGAGATACTTTTGTGAAGTTTTGAATTTATTTATCAGTTACTTCCGAAGTGCATCAATTTATTGATTTTCCAAAAAGTGAGGAGATGAACAGAGTTCCAAAAAATCGTCAGAACTCTTAGATATCAAAATTGAATAGTCTGTTTTTTTCTACGTAAAAGAATAATTTTAATTTGTCGTTAGTAAAAACTAAAAATAAAATTAAGAGAGTTGCGATTAAAACCAGCAATAAAAATAAGTCATCAGCTTTACTCCAATGTTATTGGGGATTTGACTTGAGGTAGTAATGGAGCTCTGAGCTTTTGTCCTCAAACACTGAGTTAAAATCTCGTCAATCAGCTGTTAATTTATATAATTATGAATCTGTTCACAGTGTTTTTGCTAACTTACTTTAATCAGTTTACCCACATGACATGAAAATAATCTGGTCAACGATCAAGGAGAACATTCTTCACCGTAGTACTCCCTAAAAAAACCCTACAATTATCTAATTTCACCATCAAGTAACGACCTTCCCTACAGGTTAATGACCTGCTCAATACAGTTTGCAAACACAAAGAACACATTAATCCCTTAGAATGCCAACCAATAAAATCATATAGAACTACATTCAGAATCTTGTCATCGTTTTAAAAACTTGTAGGCATTTTCTAAAGATTCCTTGGTGGCCATTTCCAGTCTAAATTGTATAATTATTAGCGACTGTGGCATCTTGGCTCCATTAGCTATCTGGTCAGTAATGTAGTATCAGGCGAGTAATGGACTCGTCGGCGTCGGGCTTCTGGGGCAATTACTTAAGATGTGGATGGGCTTGCAGTTTGCTAATATCAGGATTAACATAAATTTAAATTTCACTAAGATGTTTAGTTACAGATATTTGGCATGGTTAATTTAAAAGAATCTCCTTTGGTGGGTATGCAAACTCAATTACTTTGAATCTTCAAGGAGAACCTAGGTCTTAGCCCAGTCCCCCCAAAAGTTCCCTATCAAATAATGGGCTTTAAATGTTGTGCAGTTGTAAATTTTACGTTTAGCTCAGAAACTTGAAGAACTTCAAAAACTTACGAAGCACTAGCCTACGTAACTATGTGAAATATCCTGTTATTATTTTTTACTTTCCTGCATTATTTAGATACTATTTGTATGAACATAGTAATAATTTA